CAACTTACTGAATGGAAGATCTTCACCAACCCCGCATCAGACAAAGATATGATCTCCAAAATATATAAAGAACTCAAGAAACTAGACATCAAAACTCTAATTAACCCAAGTTAAAAAAAAAATGGGGTACTGAACTGAACAGAGAATTCTCAACAGAAGAAGTTCAAATGGCCAAAAGACACTTAAGGACATGCTCAACCTCCTTAGCGATCAGGGAATTGCAAATCAAAACAACTTTGAGATACCATCTTATACCTGTCAGAATGGCTAAAATCAAAAACACCAATGATAACAAATGCTGGAGAGGATGTGGAGTAAGGGGAACACTCATCAATTGCTGGTGGGAATACAAACTTGTGCAACCACTTTGGAAATCAGTGTGGCGGTTTCTCAGGAAACTGGGAGTCAACCTACCTCAGGACCTAGCAATTCCCCTCTTGGGAAAATACCCAAGAGATGTCCAAGCATACTACAAAAGCATTTGTTCAACTGTGTTCATAGCAGCACTATTTTTTTTAAATTTATTTATTATGTATACAACATTCTGCCCACACCCCAGAGGAGGACGCCAGATCTCAGTACCGATGGTTGTGAGCCACCATGTGGTTGCTGGGAATTGAACTCAAAACCTCTGGAAGAACAGTCAGTGCTCTTAATCTCTGAGCCATCTCTTCAGCCCCCTAGCAGCACTATTTGTAATAGCCAGAACCTGGAAACAACCTAGGTGCCCCTCAATAGAAGAATGGATAAAGAAGGTATACACTTTAGAGTTTTACTCAGCAGTAAAAAAACAATGACATCTTGAATTTTGAATGCAAAAGGATGGAAATAGAAAACACTTTACTGAGTGAGATAACCCAGACCCAAAAAGATGACTATGGTATGTACTCACTCATAAGTGGATTCTAGCCATAAATAATGGACATTGAGCCCATAATTCGTGATCCTAGAGAATCTAAATAAGAAGGTGAACCCAAAGAAAAACATATTCATCCTCCTGGAAGTAGAAAAGATTGCCTGGCAAAAGTTGGGAGCATAGGGGTGTGGTGGGGGTAAGGTGAGATGAGGAAGGAGAAGGGAGAAGGGAAGGATTGGGGAGAGCTTGGAAAAATGGTATGGTTGAGATGGAGGAAGAGTGGATATGGGAGCAGGGAAGTAGATATCTTAATCAAGGGAGCCATTTTAGGGTTGGCAAGAGACTTGACTCTAGAGGGGTTCCCAGGTGTCCAAGCAGATGTCCCCAGCTTGTTCCTTGGGCAGCAGAGAAGAGGGTGCCTGAACCAACCTCATCTTATAGCCACACTGATGAATATTTTGCATATCACCATAGAACCTTCATCTGGCGATAGATGGAGATAGAGACAGAGACCCACATCGGGGCACTGGACTAAGCTCCCAAGGTCCAAATGAAGGGCAAAAGGATGGAGAACATGAGCAAGGAAATCAGGACTGCGAGGGGTGCGTCCACCCACTGAGACAGTGAGACTGATCTAATGGGAGCTCACCAAGGCCAGCTGGACCTTGTGATCAAACTGGATTCTCTGAATGTGGCTGACAATGAGGGCTGATTGAGAAGCCAAGGACAATGACACTGGGTTTTGATTCTACTGCATGTACTGGCTTTGTGGGAGCCTAGACTGTTTGGATGCTCACCTTCCTAGACCTGGATGGAGTGGGGAGGACCTTGGACTTCCCACAGGGCAGAGAACCCTGACTGCTCTTAGGACTGGAGAGGGAGGGGGAGGACGAGTAGGGGGAGTGGGAGGGAAATGGGAGGAGGTGGAAATTTTTAATAAAAAAATAAAAAACAACCCAAAAAATTAAAAATAGAAATAAACAAAAAGTCATGGCCATCATTGTGTAGTGTTATTGTAACCAGTAAGATATTCATAACAGTATGGATTAGTCCCATAGGAAGCATAGGCCTTTACAAAAATCTTTCCTTATGTCCAAGTTCAATCACTGACATACATTTTGACTTTGTTGAAATTGAACTGGAAATACCAAGCTCAGCTCATGAGGCTGGAGAGGAATTGGTAAATGAATTTCTTTTACCTGGGTCTCCTAGCTTCCCTGAGTTCTAAACTTAGATTTCCACAGGCTCTCCTAAGTCCTCATTAAGAAATGTCAAGATTTCAAGATTAGATTGATCATCAAATTCCTCACCCACACTGTAGGGAAATCTTCAGAAAAGGGAAGGCACAAATCTGAAAGAGGCTCCAGTAAGGGAGCTGGGGAGCAATCACCCCAGAGTTGTCAGTGGGGCATTTTCACTTTCAATTTTTCCTGAATGGGAAAATCTTCTTTTGTCTTGTTTTTTGAAAATCAATTTTAAGGTTTCATTATCCAGCTTATAGTCATGAAAGGAATTAGCTATCTTTTTCTCATGATTAATAACATCCTCATTTTCCCTAAGTATTTTTACGACTGTCCAGATTAATGCCCAAGTGACCCAGAATTGAGCTGGGATCTTTTCATCTTGTTTATAGGTCTTTTCAACGTGTTTTTGGGACTCTGTCCCATACTTCCTCATGTAAAGTTCCCTCTTCCGAAAGCCAGGGTTTGTACTCACAAACAACTTAATAGCTGTGATTTTGATAGTGGTGTTCCTTCTTTCTTTAAAAAATGAAGCAGAAACTCAGCGTAAGACAAAGCTTTCCCTGGTGTCTGCCCTGTTATTCTCACTCATCTCCTTCCATGAGGGTCCCCACTCTCTGATTCCAAAGCCAATTTCAGGTCCCTTTTCAGGCACCACTTGTCATCCTCCAGAGGTAGTGGTACCTGGAAGAAGGAGGTGGACTGGAGTCTCATGCAATAGCCAAATTTATTCAGAGCAGCAGACAAGTTATACTCTGAGGGTAAGAAAGTTCACATGAGGGCATGCTGTGTACATTGTCAAGGACAAGCTGAGCATGACAAAATCATGTTCTTCACAGAATCACAGAAAGGACATTTAAACATTTAAATGATTATTGATAACAAGCAATAAGTGGCAATCAGAAATAAACCCACTTCTTTCTGCTATGCCTGGACAGAGCATGGAAACACATTCCATGAAAAGTTCTGTGATAGCCGGGCGATGGTGGCGCACGCCTTTAATCCCAGCACTTGGGAGGCAGAGGCAGGTGGATCTCTGTGAGTTCGAGACCAGCCTGGTCTACAGAGCTAGTTCCAGGACAGGCTCCAAAGCCACAGAGAAACCCTGTCTCGAAAAACCAAATTGGAGTGTTTCTTCAAGCACTCAGAATTCTCAAACTACTCCATTTTCTTAAATGTTCTTAAATGGAGTAGTTTGTCCTTAAATGGAGGGAAGGGTTTGGCTTATGCTTCCACATCACTGTTGATCATCAAGGAATCAGGACAGGAACTCACCCAGTGCAGGAACCTGGAGGCACAAGCTGAGACAGAAGTTAGTTATGGAGGAGTGCTACTTACTGGCTTGTTCACCATGGTTTCTCAGTCTACTTTTGTATAGAGCCCAGGACCATTTGCTCAAAGATGACACTATCCACAAAGTCTGGGAACTCCTCATTCAATCAGTGATTAAGAAAATACCCTACATTTAGATATGATGGTGGCATTTTCCCAATGGAGGTTTCCTCCTTTCAGGCAATTCTAGCTTGTGTCAAGTTGACAGAATCATTGACCGCCATGAAACAGTGACTGTAAGTTCTACAGTATATACCTTTGGCGCAATAGAGTGGGAATGAGATGGTTAGAATCTTTTGGAGAGGTGGAGCCTGTTTTCACAGCTTCACTTAAGACACCAGTCTCCACTTCCTGCCATACCTGCTTATTAACTAGGGGGAATACATAGGAGGTAGAATCATTATCAAGGCTTTGGATCTTTTCTCATACAGATTTTTTTGTAGGTTGTCACCTCTGTTGGAGCCAGAATTTCTGGTCATGCAGGTGCGTTTTAGCCTCCCATGACCTATAAATTACAATGTAATCTGGATATCCAAGTAAACTGGTCCACTCAACTCAGCTTAGATGAACCAATTCCTTGCACAGTTTTTACCCTAATCTAGGGTCAATGATTTTTTTTTTAAATGTCTTCCTAGGAAGTCACATGACAGGGAGAATTTGAAGGTGAAGACTGGCAAGCTCTGAGTAGCCACCCCTTCATATTTTCGGTTATATGGAGGAACGAGGCACCAGCACAAACACAACACTACACATATGAGGTAGTTTCTGAGGGCTGTAGGCTGCACACCACACTCTGAAGGCTCTATTCTCTGTTGTATTAGGTTCCACTAACTAGTAAAATCACGTGGTGTTTGTCTGTATGCAGATGACCGATTTCACTTAGCATAATACCCACAGGTCCACGCTAGTTACAATGTGTCCAGAATAAGGAAATGATGAAGTTATTATCTAATCCATCTGTCTAATATTATGTGCTTTACTTGAAGGGCATAATTGAATCCGATTTCCTGGTTGCCTTTACTATCTACTACTTATTTGCAATTTTCATCATATGTTAAAATTTTAATTTATGTTCTGATCAAGCTTTTATTTTATATTTTCCAATCTACTCTTTTGTTTAGAGAAAAATTCACAATACCAACTCTATATGCCACTCAGAGTCCAGACCATCCTAATTCATGCTGTGTCAACTGTTATGTATCTCCTGTCTGTTTATTTTTTAATTTCAAATTAAAGATTTTGTGTGTTTATTCATGTGTGCATGTCTCAACATGAATATGGAGGTCAGAGGGCAAGGCATGGGTGTCAGTTTTGTCAGAGGTGGATCAGCTTTTCTGACCAGTCAGCAGGTGCTTTTCCCCACCAAGGCATCTATTTTGTTGTTGTTGTTTTGTTTTTCAAGGAAGAATTTCTCTGTTGCTTTGGAGCCTGTCCTGGAACTAACTCTTATAGACAAGGCTGGCCTCAAATTCACAAACATCCACCTGCCTCTGAGTCCTGAGTGCTGGGATTAAAGGCATGAGCCACCACTACCCTGCCACCTCTCTCTACTCTTAACACTGAACTGTCAGGAGCCATTTCCCCCCAATCATTACAGGAACCATCACTCTGGGGAGTCTGCAGAATGCCCCTCACCCAATTAGCAGCAATCTCTTAGCGGAACCCGCCTCACATTCCAGCTATCCAGGGAACCAGGTGTGGCGCAACTTGTGACTTCCTGGCCCTATCTGTCTGTCTGAATGTAACCTAGCCTACGTGACCTGGAACACGAGGCAAGAATCCAGTACCCTGCCCCTCATCCCTTACCATATATAAGCAGCAACCATGTCCCTAATAAACGGAGGCTTTGACAAAGTTGCTTGGCCTCCTTCTTCTGTCTTAGCTCACTCCCTTCCAGGTAGCGCCCCTCTGAGACCCTGGAGTAACTTGATTGCGGGTGGGTTACTAACCCCTAGACTGAGTAGCCCACCCAACGCAATCCACACTGAACAATCTCATTGCCAATTTCAGATTAAACACATCTTTCTTCACTCCTTCTCCATGTTCATACATAGCTTCCCTTTGAGTCAAATTACACAGACTGACTGAGAAAGTGTTCATTAGTCTGGTCCTCTATGTAACAGAAGAGGGTGAGACTCAGAGAAGTAGTGGATGTTCCCTACAAACAAGTCACATCACATGAGAAATGTGAGAAGGAGCTGCAGGGATGGTTAGGAGACCTGCTCCTCTTGCAGAGGACCCTGGTTCCTTATCTAGCACTCACATCTAGGACTCATGACTGCCTGTAGCTCTAGCTCCCTGTGGTCAGTGTCCACTTCTCGTCTGTGTGGGGAACTGTACACATGTGACACACACTCACAGAGACACATACATAAAATAAATCTTTATATTAGAAATCTAGCTATTTAATAATCTATAGCACAATAACCATCACTTACTTAAATATTTTGCATATTTATAAAATGCAACCAAGGAAAATATAAATACTTATGCATCATTGTAAAGTAGAACCATAAAGAACCAAAAATGTTTCAAGGGTCAAATATGACAGAACAGTTTCTTTTTTAAAAAAGGCATAAATCCACCTCTAGAAATTCTATACCTTCATGATCAATAATTATATCAATAAGTATTTTTCAGAATAGGTCTATTATGTTTTTAGAACCGTGTCGATATCTTATTGTGTGGATCTAAGTTAGGAAATCAAGCAGTGAATCCTTCACTTAAATGGATGTAGAATGAGATCCTTTTGCAGCTCTTTGATGACAAACAGCTGGATAGTGTGGAGAGCAACCAGGCATTAACAAAGGGCAGCTGCTAACAAGCCTCAGTCTGTTTCAATCACACTGCAGATTAATCTTGTAAATTGGCAAATCCAAGTTTTTTTTATCAACATAGAAACTATAGATGGATATAAAATAAAACTTTATTGTGTATTTCTTATCTAATTTATCCCATATGGACAATGTTAATTCCTGTAGCGAACCTCCATGAATATAAAACCATAGAAACATTTCAGTGCATTTAAGTTCTGTGACTGGTGGACTGGGATTCCAGGAAGTGGATGTAGTTCATATCATTTTTCAAAATTCTGTATAATATTATCTACAAAAAGAAAAATACAGACACGTTAAATAGCATCATAGCTAAAATAACATTTAGCAAGAACAACATCAGCTACAAGATATGGATTTCTTTAGATAACATGACTAAATCACTATGAAGTTAATAAAATCGACCAAATTCATCTGTGCGCTTCCAGTCATGGTGACAGTTTTACTAAATAAAATTAAGACCATTTTCCCTGTGGTGGAGACATGACTCCTTAGTTGAGAGCACTAGCTTGTCTTCCAGAGGTCTCAGGTTTAATTGAGACCTAGCAGCCATACTTTGGTTGACAGCAACCTCTCTAATTCCAGTCAGTCACAGGGCATTTGATGACCTCTTCTACCCTTTACGGGAACCAGGTGTGGCTGTCCTACATGGACATAATGCAGGAAAATTATCCATACACAATACTAATATAGGAATTTAGCAAATCCCTTCAAAGGAGTAGAAAATTGGAGAATAAGGTTTCTTTTATCACTGTAATTTACTAAGATCTCTCTCTCTCTCTCAGGACAAGGTTGTGAGTCACCAGGAAGAATATGTGAGAATAAATACATGCTTAACCTACTTTATGAAAATTTTGTCTTACCTACAATATTGCAGAAGTGAGAGTTCTTCGACAGTCACTGAACAGAAACATGAAAGAGATAGTTTCTCAATTTCTCACAACACTCAGGCAGAAGTCCATTCCTGTGAATCAACACAAGCGGGCTAAAAGTTGCATAACCAAGAGCCAGAAACTTTTGAACTTTTGGCATCAAGGATTTTTCTATTAAAGAGAGACTTAAAATTAAAGAAAAAGCACAGTCAGCCCAATAGAAGAAAACAAAACAGAGCATCAGAAGGAGGACACTCTGAGCAGCTCTCAGCTCAGGGGGAGTTCTGTAGAGAAGCTTGGAGTTCTGAAGATAGTGGACATGCTGGTGGTGCTTGTGGAGAAGAAATATGAGGTAGCCACTGGCGCCTCCCATGGCTCCCTGAAACACAGCATCTCTCAGGACCATGAGAGGGAGAACAATCCATTTTGTTTGCTGACTTTCTAACATAAAATAGCAGTAGCCGTCTTCACTCTTAAACTGTGATATGTTCAGGCTTGTACTTGTGATGGAATGGATTAGGTTCATACCTATTAAAGCATTGAGTATCCAAAAGAATGAAAAGATTGGAAGGATGTGCCATGCAGACTGTGGTCTGAGCCTTCTCCATCCAGATGCTCTGGGACTGATGATGATGGCCTGGACCACAGTGAGGAGACTGCTGGTGCAGATGGAGACCCCACGGGCCACCCTTGACAGGTAAATGAGGATCTTGCATCCTATGTCATCTAGGAAGTTTCTCAAACCAAAAGCTTCCATAGTCTTTGGCAACCCATTTGCAAGAAGCATTATGATGTTTGTAAAAGCCAAGTGGATGAGAATAAGATGCATGGGTTTCTTCTCAGGCCCTCTGCACCAACTGATCATATAATTCACAGAAACAGAAATGTTCCCCAGCATGCCAAACACAGTCATGAAGAGGATAACTATTTGCTTAATAAATTTCAAAAACATTTTTTTCATTTCTGGGTAGAAAATCTTGTATTCAGGATACAAAGAGTTTTCAAGAAAGCATCAGTAGTTCTAGACATTTATCTGAAAAACATTTTGCACAATAGCATTTTCTGGTATACGAGAGTCAGTGATGGACACATGTGCTGCTGTAGACTGGGTCCTCGAACTCCTCCTCTTCCCTGCGGACTCTGAGTTATGTGTGTGCTCTGACAGGTGAGTTTCGAAACTGGAATAAGACTCTATGGTTTTAAAGGAGGTGTGTTTGAACTCTCTACTAGCAAAATTGATTTCTGTAAATGTGTGTGTGTGTGTGTGTGTGTGTCCCTGTTTATCTGCGTGCATGGATTATGCTAACTACCTCTCAGCATACCTGAATTGAGCTTCATTGTCCTGCAAGCAAATTTCTTCCTTTTTCTCTATTTCATCATATCCGCCCCTCCCCCAGGTTCAAAGACAAAGGCTCCTTTTCTTTTTTTATCTTAGTGTAACAGTTTCTAGATATGCATTTGGCTTCAAAGCTTTGTAACTTCAATTTCTACATATTAATATTTTTAAAGTTTTTATGTTGACTCTTCTATGATTTCATTCAATATAAATGTTTTCTAGATATTTTTAATAAATAGTTCTAAATGTCAAGTCCAATTGCACAACCTGTCCAGATAGAGGCCTTCAGTTAAAGCTGAATCATCAAAATAGAATGTGAAAACTTTCATAGAACTACCAGACTGCAGTTAGGGATGGATGGTGTCTAGCAGAACCTTGTGTTGCTTCCTAGAAGAGGGCTAGCAGAGAGCTGTGATCCTAGCGGATGACTTCAGGGCATCTGTACCCCAGTGAGTTACCTCAGGTCACATAAGGGAACAGGGAACAGCTCTGGACCAGGGGATGCTGATGAGGTAAACCTAAGAATTGGATTAATGAGGGATTATATAGTGCCATGAGATGAGTGCAGTTTTTGAGTCACATGTCCTCAATACCAACTGTTTGTAGCACAGTAATTACTGGCATACCTGTGTGAGCAGGCATTCCACTATGTAAGAGTTCATGTTAGCATTTGCTTCTGTGGGGCCTTTTGAGAAGCTATTATGCCAGCTGGTTTTGCAGCCTGCTTTTCCTCCAACCTGTTTGTCAGGCAGGCTGCTTTTTATTTACCAGTCCCAGGTGATTCCAGAACTTGGTTCTGGGTAGGATGCTATTCTTCAAGTTCTGGAGCTCCATTCTCATTTTTCAGGGATTTATGGTAAGCTTTGGGCTCTGTCCTAGGATAAGAGGAATCTGAACATTAGAGTGGCTGCAAGGGTTTAAGAGTTCTTAGTACTTGCAATGTCTCTGTTCCCTGCCCTCCTTCCTGTTAAACTCATAGGATAGCTTTACATGTCTATGTCCAGATGATCTTACTGGTGACCTTCATCAACCTAGACTTGTTCTGAGATTTGTGTCCAGGCATCATGACTCTAGAAATGGCAGTTATTGCTTTCAACTTCTCCTTTAGCAAAGAGGTAATTATTGCCTGTAAGTGAGTCCTAGACATCACAATACCATCTAAATATCTGTACAAATGAAATATGCTCCAGATATTAATAGAAAGCACATCAGCACTCACTGACATATTTAGAATAAAAAATTAAGTGTTTTGTCAGAGATTGGAATCTGTAAAAATCCCTGCTATCAGTTCACTCAACTGGTATTAACATTTTCCTGTTTCTTTAATCCTTGTTTTCATACGGATTTGTCAGGAGCCATTTCCCCCCTATCATTACAGGAACCATCACCCTGGGGAGTCTGCAGGGAACCTCACACCCATAATTATGTTCTATTGACAGAATCTGCTCACCCAATTAACTGTTAATCTATTAGCAAAATACACCTCACATTCCAGCTACCCAGGGAACCAGGTGTGACAACTCGTGACTTCCTGGCCCTATCTGTCTGTCTGAATGTAACCGCTACGTGACCGGAACCACGCGGCCTGTGAGATCCTGTACCCTGCCCCTCATCCCTTACCATATATAAACTGTAACCCGTCCCTAATAAACTGAGGCCTTGACAAAGTTGCTTGGCCTCGTTCTTCTGTCTTAGCTCATTCCCTTCCAGGTAGCGCCCCTCCGAGACCCTGGAATAACTTGATTGCGGGTGGGTTACTAACCCCTAGACTGAGTAGCCCACCCAACGCAATCCACA